TTTCAGATCTAGAATTTTGGAAGATTAGGCGAAGCCCTGCCGGATTGAAGACTGAAGGTGCACGGATTTCAGAGAGGAGGAGGAGAGATCGGATCGAGTTTTTCAACGCAAGAGAGAGAGATTCGTCAGATCTACAGTTTCCCGGATCCGTTCCTTAGGATTATCCCGTTGCAGTAATCTTAAGAAGAGTGATTATCTCGCTTCGCCGAGATAAGAGCTACGGTTTTCTCGATCCCTTCGCGAATAGACGAAGCTCTGCCTAATTTTTTAGCAATCAGATCTGATCGACGGTGGTCCACGGATAAACCCCGGCACAGGCAAAGACACCCACGTAAGCAGAAGACCGATAAACGATCTCTGCGTTTGTTTGATAAAGTTGTAAACTTTTTATTTTCATTGTGTAAAAGTCTTATAAAAAGACTGATTTTTGTATTCGTTGTAAACGTCTGAAGTTTGTAATGAATCCTGCAATGAAAACATCAACTTTCACCGCAAACAGCTGCCAAAACTGATACTTTTGGCAGGCTTTCGCCTTCCCCCTTATGCAAACAAACAGGCCCAAATACTCTAGTTTCCTAAAGGCATCCAAACAGTCCATCATTCAAATAGTTGCATATCCTCATGCACTCATCAACCCATATAAATGTGGTTCCTCATTTGAATGAGTGGATGAGAATATGATACCTCACTACCAAATACAAAATTTGTGCTTGATACCAAGCACAAAGTTTGTGTTTGGCAGTGAGGTGTCATATTCCCATCCACTCATTCTAATTCCTAATCACTCCCAACCCATGTGAATGTGGACCCTAATTTCAATGAGTGGAGGGGAATATGTCACCTCACTACCAATCATAAAAACTAATGTTTGGTACCAAGCATACCCATTTTTCTCGCTCTCTCTCTCTATATATATATGTAGTATAATATGAGTACAACAAACGCAAACTCTATTGTCATAATAAATGTAGAGTGGGAAGGGGGCACATGACCCCCCAATCCTCCTCCCTCCACCAATGCATAATACAACGGGAAAGCAAAAGTTGCATTGTATAATTTGTATCCTTTTCTACAATTTACCATCGGATAACCTTCAATTTATGCATGTAATTTATCAAGTTTTAACAATAACCATGTACATGTTTATGTGAGAGTCTGAGACTACTGACTACATGTTATTGTCATGTTCCATTATTATCATAGTTTTCACATCCTAAATTAATTTCATCGAATTGCACCGGGGATTGCTAAACATACACACCATAAAGCAACGCACAAAGCACACACATCCACCTCTACAAAAAAGAAATTAAAAGAGTATCGTACTCGATGCCCATAACCAAATTAAGTTTCATTAATACAAGATTTACTCAAATTAACAAACAAACACCCCCCC